CCCTGCTCTGGAATTCCAATCACTCACGAATTTTTACTTTTGATTGTATCCCACATCGTTCTCAGGGTTTCTTCATTTTTCTTTGTTTTTTTCTCTGATTTTTCCCCAAACAAAGTGATAGCCAAGGATTTGTCTTCAATTTTGCTGATCCTGTCTCCATTGTTTCAAAGTTACTCCTAAAACCTTCTTTTGCACTGTCCGTTTCTGAAATCTTGTTGTTTATCTTTTGGATTTCTAACTGTTGTTTTTATATGATTTTTAGTTGTGAGTTTATTTTGACATTTTTTTCTGTACTATTTTCCTGAATTCTTCATTGCTTTGTCTGTCTTTTCCATGATTTTGTGTATTTTTTCCTTATTTTTGTCTGCGTTCTCTTTCATCTCTTGTAGAGCTCTGAATATTAGAGTTTTGGATTCCCTATCAGGTAGTTCCAGTGCTTGTCTTCTCCCAGAAGGTTATCTGGGGTTTTATTTTGGACACCTACTGGAACCATCCTGTCCTATTTTTTATGTTTTGATATTGTCTGCTGTCTTCAGGGCATTCAGTAATTATTTTCTTCATTTACTGATTGTAGATTTGTTTGTTTCATCTTGCTGTTTTGGTTTTTTTTTGGTTAGGTCTGGGCAGGTGAGCTGGGTGTTCTTTGTTGTTTGCTTATCTGTGGACACGGTATTTCTCCCCATCTTGTTGAGGGGGGCAGGGTCAGTCGCTCAGATATGGTGTCACAGGGCAGGTCCGCTGGAGCCGACAGGGTGAGGCCTGGGGGCAGTGCAGGGCAGGGTACAGTGCTCAGTGTACAGTGCAGTTAGGCAGGAGGGAATGGGGAAATGTAATGTGGGAAAGGAGAGAGAAATAGAAGTCCTCCCCCCCCAAAAAAAAAAGGTGCTGAGGGAGCTTACCATTGGAGTGGCGCAGACCCAGGGAAGCTGTGTGCCGGTGACTTTCTAGCCAGACGCTGAGGCACAGACTATCAAGAAGGGTCAGAGACAGCACATACGGCCAGGTGGTCGAGAGAAAGGAAAAGAAGGAAGGTGGACAAAGACAAGAAACTGAGGGAAAAAAAGAATGCCAGGTGGTCAGGAGGAAGGAAAGGGAGGAAGGTGAGAGAGACACGAAACCGAGAAAAAAAGAAAAAGAAAAATGCCTCAAGGGGGCCTACTCGGAGCTTGGCTAATTGTTTGGTGCAAGAGGTCTAGCTTTTGGCCTGTCTCTGCTTTCAACATGCCTTCCTCACTAAGCTTAATCTTTTGTAGCTCTTGATTTAAAGTGAGAGATGTGCAGCTCTTCCTCTCATTTGAGCACGTGGAGGCCATTGTAGGGTTAGTAATTGGCCTAATTTCAGTATTGTCATGTAGCAAGGAATAGGGAGGCCCAAGGAGAGGGAGAGAGATGGGGTAACGGCCACTTGGTAGAGCAGTCAGAACACATGCGACATTTATCGATTAAGTTTGCTGTCTTATATGGGCGTGGTTCGTGGTGCCCCAAAACGATTATAATAGTAACATCAAAGGTCACTGATGACAGATCACCATAACAGATATAATAACAGTGAAAAAGTTTGAAATATGAGAATTAACAAAATGTGACGCAGAGACACGAATGAGCACATGCTGTTGGAAAAACGGCACCAACAGACTTGCTTAATGCAGCATTTGCACAGACCTTTAATTTGTAAAGAAAATACAGTATCTGTAAGTTTCAATAAAGCGAAGCGGAATAAAACGAAATACATCTGTACTACAGTTTTTTAAAATGTGGATAAATAGTAATTCTTTCCCTTTATAAATGTTCAGTGTAGTAAAACGGTTTGATAGCCATGTCAACTGGGGACAAATGTATTTTTCTGGCTTCCTCAAAAAAAAAAAATCCCGTGCTTCCTTTTTGGAACACACCTGGAGGGTGCCATATGATCAGCTCTCCTGCAGCCCTATTTCTGTTTTTTCAAGTTGTGCAACTGTTCTATCTTTTTTTTTAAATATTTATTTGTGGTGGCGATATACACAACCAAACATCCATTCACAATTTCTACATGTACATTCAGTAACATTGGTGATACACTTCACACTGTGTCACCATTCTCACTACCTCTATCCATATTGTTTTAACACCATTAATTTAGACACTCTGTCCCTTAAAGTTCTCATCTCTGATTTAAGTGAACTATTGTCAGTTTGAACTCATATAGACAATTCTTTATAAGAGCTCAGTGCTTAAAGCAAACAATCTATTGTTTAGTTTAACTATGGCTTTGTGGGTTGCAGCCCTTTTTTCACAGCTCTCTTAGGTGCAAAGGCATTTGATCTTTCCTAATTTCCCAAGTGCAGCAGAAAGATGTACTTCTGTAAAGATTTACAGCCTTGGAAACCCTATGGGGCAGTTCTACTCTATCCTGCGGGGTTGCTATGAGTCGGAATCGACTCAACGGTAATGGTTTGGTTTTTGGAATTCCCTGAGGCAGAAAATTCAGGCTCCTCAGTCTGCCTTGCCAGACTCCAAAATCTCACCCCAGCCTTACCTACCTCTCAAAGTCTGCCTTAGTTAGGCCGCTGTTCATATATTCCTTCATATGTAGCACTGTTTTCACCCTCATTGCCTATTATTTGCTCCATTTTTCCAGAATATTCTCCTCCTCTCAATCTGTCAGTGTCCAAGCAGAGAAACAATCACCATACAGTATGATAAAGACTGTAGGAAGGGTCTTTGCACCTGCTATTGCTACTGCCTGGTATGTTGTCTCCTTTCCCAAATGTCTTAGGTTGGGTTCTCTAGAGAAGCAAGCCAGTGAAGCATATATATAGAAAGAGAGAGAGAGAAAGATTTATCTCAAGGAAATGGCTCACAAGATTATAGAGGCTGGCAAGTCCCAAGTCCATTGGTCACGTGTCAGGCTGGGGGCTTCTCCTGGGTCACGTAGCTGCTGGGGCTGATAAACCCAAGATTGGCAGGTAAGACAGCAGGCTGCTGGCTCATAGGCTGCAAAGGCCGATGGATCCCAAGATCAGCAGGCAGTATGGCAGGCCACTGGCTCAAGTCCCAAGAACCGGAGCTCAGATGATGATGAGCCGGATGCAGGATCCAGAGAGAACAAAAACCAGCGAGCTTTGCCAGAACGTCCATATATATTGAATGCAGGCCACACCCCCAAGGAAACTTCCCTTAAAACTGATTCGCTGATCACATCCGCTCGCGTCCTCCATTATATCACCAAATGGAGGATAACTTCATCATGATGTAACTGCCAAACCTCTGAGAATCATGGCCCAGCCAAGTAGACACACAACCTTAACCCTCACACTCTCTTACCTAATGAACTTCCACACATCCTCCAGCCCTCCTCACCTTAGTCCTCACATCCTCAGAAAGCTTCCTCTGGTGTGCTTCTCTGAAGACTGGCCTCACAGTACCAAGTACTCTCCTTGTAGCACTGACCAGCCTTGTGATCTTACATTTATTTGTGTGATTATTTGATCAGTGGGTATCTCCCCCCACTGGTTATTCATTTCAGACCATGTCTGATATCTCTTTTGACTATGCTTTTATCCCCAGTGCCTACTACAGTGCCTATCACAGTGAAAGTGCTTAGTAAATATTTGTTGACTAAAAAATAACTATTTTATCTCTCAGCTCCTCGCACAGAATTGAGTGAAACCAAAGTTTTAAAGGGGATAAACAGACTAGTGGTACGTGTCACCACAACTGCACATTACCTCCCAGTATCATTCTAAGATGGGCCAAAAGAACTTTCTTTAACGACTTCAGCTAAAAAAAGGATTCAATATTTATTGCTGTGGGGTAGATTAGTGGTCGAAAGTGGATGTCATATGTGCCATTTCTGTTTTTTCAGTAGTGTTTTTTTTAAATAAAGATCTCAAATGTTTATTTAATCATTTAATTAATTATTTAATATTTTACCCCTTCAGTTATATCAAAATTGAGTTCCTTTTCATCTATGGCCAAGATCTTATGCATGTGTAATTCAAACATAGTGTTTAAACATGTTAATCTTGAGATGGAGTCCCTGGGTGACACAGGACACTTAAAGCTCTCAGCTGCTAACCAAAAGGTTGGGGTTTGGGTCCACCCAGAGGTGCTTCAGAAGAAAGGCCTGGCGATCTACTTCTGAAAAATCGGCCATTGGAAACCCTATGTAGCACAGCTCTACTCTGACACACATGAGGTCATCATGAGTTAGAGACAATTCAGCAGCAACTGATTTTGGTAAATCTTGAAACAGCCTAGAAATCAACTGACAGGTACTAAATCCATGATAGATGAGGGAACATGGGCTGCACATAGCTTTAGGGTAGGAAATGGGAACAAAAAGATGCTGCGTGACAGCTGGAAAACTGAGGGAAATACAAAATATGAAAAAAAGATTTGAATTGGCTGCATCTAGTCTAATTGGACTAGATTGGGTATCTAAGAGAATAACGTATTCCAAAAATTCAGGATGTAGACCAAAGAAGTTAGGACGATTTTCTAACACAGTAAGGGCCTTAAAGGGGAAGGACAGGTCTACATTTTCCCCCCTGGAGAACCTTCAAAAAAAAAAAAAAAAAAAGCCTAATTTTCTCCAGACTCCAGGCCAAACCTACTCTGGGGCTGAAATAGAACGGAGGCAAGAAGTTAGATGTCAAAGCTGGATTCTTAAAGTCTTGTCTGTTTGTGGGGAGTTTTACCTCAAAAGTCTGCATGCCAAATTAAAGTAGGTCTTGTACTTCAAATGGTAAATTGAGTTTATGGTAGTAGGGTCTCCTTCCCCAGTGGAGAGGCAGGAACCACTTCACCCCTTGGGTAGTGGTAACAGTAGTGACAAACCTGGGCACCCTTCTGTTTTTGTGGCCCTGAGCATTTTAACCACGCTTCGACCCCGCTGTTTGGAGGCCAAAGACAACCAAGGAGATGCTCTGAGCCACCAGTAGGCTGCACAGTGTCAGCAGTGAGCCTCGGGCAGGGCCACCACTGTGTTCTCACTGCTTCCTCTCACTTTCTCTTACCAGGAATCAGAAGGCGTGTCCTGCCACTACTGGTCGCTGTTTGATGGTCACGCAGGATCGGGGGCCGCCGTGGTCGCATCCCGACTGCTGCAGCACCACATCACGGAGCAGCTGCAGGACATCGTCGAGATCCTGAAGAACTCTGCCGTCCTCCCCCCAGCCTGCCTGGGGGAGGAACCGGAGAACACACCTGCCAACAGCCGAACTCTGACGCGGGCAGCTTCCCTCCGTGGAGGGGTGGGAGCCCCGGGCTCCCCCAGCACGCCACCCACCCGCTTCTTTACAGAGAAAAAGATTCCACATGAGTGCCTAGTTATTGGGGCCCTTGAAAGTGCATTCAAAGAAATGGTAGGTATCCCCAAAGAGTCCAGGGCAACAGGGGATGGCCACTTAATCCAAATCCCTTCCTTTTTACAAGGTTCCCTGCATAGGCATGTTTTCTGTCCCTTTGTTTCAATGCATGTTCCACTCGGGCGTCTTGCTTTTATAACATGGTTTCCATTTTCAGTAGAAGTCAGCAACAAGATAGAGTTCCTGGAATTGATTGCTGGAAAAAATTAGAAGATGAAAGAGAAAGATAGTGCCTGAGGTAGTGTGCTTATTAAATTCATACGTACGGCTTCTCTTTCAGCCTAGTCATGTTGATGCCAGCTGATAGAACTCCACTTAATTGAGATGTGAGCGTGTTTGCCATCTGTTTTATACGTGTGTCTGAATTCCAGATGTTTGGGGAAACTTAGAGCTTTTAGTAAAGGGCTTAAAAGTACCCTCTCCATTCAGTTCTGATCTGAGAACAGCTGCTTTACCGGGATGTGAAATGTGGTTTGTTCACATAGCTAAAAAGTAGCTGCTGCCGAGAACCAAGGGGCCAATATCCAAGACTCATTGTGTTACTTAGGAACATGGATTTGTTTGTACGTTTACATTTGTATGTGCCCTTCCCTGTCAGCCCCACTCCTGAGAACATGCTAAGGAGAGAGAGCAGCAAGCCCTCAGAGTGTCCCTGTGATGCCCCTCTGCTGTGAGAAAGCACACACAAGGTCTGCCTCTTGCTCTGTTCTGTACCACCTGCCTCCTTCCATCCCTGAGCTTGCTTTCTACAGAGGCAATTCTTTTGGTTCCATAGATTTTCTTTCCTGAACAGCAGCCTGCATACTGGTTAAGAGTGTCAGATGATTAAAGACCTTATAAGGACTTGAATAAGGTGAGTGGGCGGTAGTATCCATAAAATCTGGAAATTAAAAAGTGATGGCAGGATGTTAAATGAAGCAAGAGCAGCCAGCAGCATCTCCCCGGAAACAGTGGGCACAGCATGCACATTCCAGAATTTCTCGGTGTCTCGGTACACGCTGACGAGAGGAGTAATGCAAATAGTATTAAATTGCTTCATCTGATTTGTTGGTAAGGAAAATACTTTGTGTGTTTGCACCTCAAATTCACACTTCTCATTTTGATTTATCCCTTCTCTGGTCCCAGCTTTTCTTTCTTTATCACACAGATAATATTTCTCCTTTGACTAGCAGGTGCTTTGAAATGCATCTCTGTCTTAGAATGTCTAGTAGCCTTTAACCTTGCGATCTTGATAAAAATACCAAGAGGCTGAAAATATTATTTAGGGGGAAAAAAGGAATGAAGGCAGGAAGTTTAATTCCTAGTCAGGCTTGGTTTAAAACTCACTCTCCAGCTATCGTAGAGGCTCTGATGTGAATGAAGTGTCTCTAGACCCCAACTCTCAGAATGATACATATTTAATTGAGACAAAAATCTGACAATGGGCTTTCCCCCGATGAGAGAAAAAGTTGGTTTCCGTGGTAGAATTTAAGACCTTCAGGGTTTTCACTTCATTCAGTGATCCCTAGTGCCACAGAGTATGTTTTGTATGGAACTGCTGTATTCTTGGTTTTATCCACTAGAGGCCAATATCATATTGAGTCAGACCCTGCCAACAGTCTTCTGGTTTTCCCGCCCATTAATGGCTCCTGTTTACTACAACAACTGTACTTAAAATGAGAGGCTCATTCAGAAAAATACTTAACAAAGAGCCTCATTCTTATCTTCTAAAAGTTTATCAGCTTTTAATTTGCCACTTCATTACCTGAAAATTTTCTTGGAAGCTTAGTTGCCAGTGAAAAGATTGATTATTTCATTTTCATGTCTTAATTTGTTCAGTCAGTAAATATTGATTGAGTACCAACTATATGCCCAGCCCAAGTGGGAAAAGAACATTGAGCAAATTAGACAAGTTCTCTGTTCTCACAGAGCTCACAGGGAAAGACTCAGGAAGTAAAATGAAAACAGGGAGAGCCTTAAGAGGGGAAATACAGGGTGAACTGGGAGTCTGGTGAAGAGATGAAAGGAAGGTTCCCTGAGGAAATGATGCTCAGGGAGAGTAGTAGTAAAGCATACAAATGGTGAGAGGCAGGTACAGTGTTCCGGACAGAGGCAACAGCCTGTATGAAGGCTCGCTTCAGAGAGAGAACCGAGGTAAGCCAAAGGCAATGAACCAAAGTCCACTGTGATTGGAAGACAGATTTTAAGGGCAGGAATGGTGCAAGGTGAGTTGGGGAGGTGGTCTGGAACCCACCTGTGGAAGACCTGGCATGCCATATTGTAAACTTTTAGCTTTAAACCATACCACTTGTCTGTGTTGGTTCCTCTCCACTGCACTGCACTTCCTGCCTTCCTCTTCACACCTAAGTTTTTCCTAGATGGTATCTCTAGTTCTCAGCACACCCAAGGCCTACCTTGATTTGCACCACGCGATTGGCCTTATTAAGTGAGAATACCATCCAGTTCATAGTTCTTACGGTGCTAGGTAGGGTGACCATACTTGCAGCTTTGCCCAGGAATGAGCCAGCTGATGCCTGTTGTCTCAGGGTAGTTATTAATACTACCCCCTTTCACTCTCAAAAGTGTTCCTGTTTGGATGATAACGCTCATATTTACCCTAGTCACAGAGATATGCTCCTGTTTGTTCTTTGCTCCGTTAGGAACTTCAGAAAAAGTCCACCTCAGTGGCTGATTTAACCATTAAATTGGGGTGAGCTACAGAACCCACAACACAGAAATTATACAGCACACTCCCGTCTTAATGGACTAGCAAGTCATTGCCAAGTATAAAATACTGTTTTTTTCCCTCTTCCTCACAGTAGATTTTTGAAAGTCATTGTCTCAAGACCAACCTTCCATTTTTTTAAATGCCTACCATGCAGCTGTTTCCTTATCTTGTTGTCCTGATCTGGTGGCTCCCCCCTAACCCTTTCAGAGAGGGGCAGGTTTGGAATTTACAGGCCAGTCCTAAACTTCTTTCTCAAAATAGTCTGCCACTTTTCTGCTTCTGTTTCTGGGTGTTCATTAGGTTATACAGGTTTTATGCCATTCCGATCCTCTATGATAGGAAAATTCATTGTTCAATAAGATTCATTCACATAAACATCTCAGCTTTGTGACTCTTTTGGTTTCTCTCCCACTTGCAATCTGTAAAGATAAGGTTCCCAAGCTAGCACCTAGGCCTCTAATTTACCTCGTTGATGACATCTATGCAGCTACCCCTTCTGATGTTCAGAATGTAACTTAAAATACCCTCGAAGGTAGAACTTGCCTTCAGCTTGGGGTTTTGCTTTATTTTCAGCAGTTCAACAATGTGGAATTAACAGAATTCTCTGGAGAATCTCTGTTAGTCTCCCTCTCTCTCCACTCTTCCTCCTCCTTCTCCTTCTCCACTTCTCCCCTTTCTCTGTCTTTCAGTGCAGTGCTCTACTCAATCGCTAGTATTTATTGAGTTTATATTTTATAATCAGCATTCTTCCAGGAACTACAGAAGTAAAAGATAAGACCTCATTGGAGCCATTTGTGCTCACATGTTATATGAATATCCCGAAAAACCAAACCCATTGCCACTGAGTCAATTCTGACTCATAGCAACCCTATAGGACAGAACTGCCCCAGTAGGGTTTCCAAGGAGTGGCTGGTGGATTCGAACTGCTGACCTTTCTGTTAGCAGCCATAGCTCTTAACCACTGTGCCACCAGGACTCCTCAATATGAATACAGAGATACGCAATATCACATTTATTTTGATATTCTAAATAACATTACAGGAGGTGATGCAATGTTAGTATTTATTCGAAATGGAAAATGAGTTTAAAAAAAAAGGTTCAGAAACACCAAGCCAGAATAAATAATACTATTTCACGGGAGTGGGGGTGGGGGGCACAAATAGGTTTTAGTCACAAAATATAGACATATAGGAGAGAAAAAATGCTTTGAACAAGAAGTTATGCTATTTGGTTAACGGTTTAGTCAAATGTCTTAAGCTCCTTTGAGAGTAGTGTTTTTTCTTCCATCTTTGGTCCTTGTGTTGCCTGGCACAACACGTGACATGATGAAGGTGACCTCTGACCACTGGCTTCCACTGCTTACTCTGCAGGCTGTCAGAGACAGACATACCCCAGTGCCCTCCTTATTGTAGCTCATCTTGGATCTTTCTTCATAGTAAGAAGGCTGTGTAGCCAACTCCTCCTGTGTCTACTACAGAAAATGAACAATGTTTCCCAAAGGACCAGAATCAGAAACCTTTGACTGTGTCAATTCCCTTTTCTCAACAGCGCTTTGTAACAACGTCTAGCTTAGTAGCTAAGTCTTTGTCACCTATTATGTTTAGGTTGTTGCTTGGTCCAGGATGATACAAAAAAAAAAACCAAACCTGTTGCCATCGTGTCCATTCCGACTCATCACGACCCTACAGGACAGAGGACCGAGTAGAACTGCCCCATAGGGTTTCCAAGGAGCGCCTGGTGGATTCAAACTGCCAACCTTCTGGTTAGCAGCCAAACTCTTAACCACTATGCCACCAGGATGATAGGCACGTATAAAATAAATGTCTTCTAAGTCCTGATTTTAATTTCCTCCCCGCTTGCCTCCACCCTCTACCTCATCCTCCAAAAGGAGATTCAATAATTCACATTTCAGACTCTTGAAGGAAGTCCATTCCATTGGGTGGGGGGGCAATTACAGAAGGCCTTAGCCCTCCTAGGAATCAGAACCAGGTCCACAGCAATTAGCCTATAGCCTGCTGTCTATAGGGTTCTTGTGTTCTGAACAGCCAGGAGAATCTCAAAATTCTACAGCAGTCAAGAAATCAAGAGACGCAGAGCCAACATGGCACTATAGACAGAAGCACCACATCGTCCCTCCACAGCAAAGACCCAAAAAACTAAGTAAAACAGACAGGTGTCAATCCTGGAATAGTAAGCGTCAAATGAAGAGATAAAGAACTCAGCCAAGCACTGAATGGAATAAGAAACTGACACAGAACAGAGAACGAGAAACACGTGCAGCGGTCCCCTA